CCGGTGACCCGGCGTGGCAGGATATCGCCTGGACCATGTTCAAACGCCTGTCGCCAAAGGAACGGCGGCACAGTACGGGCATGCGTCTGTAAAAGACGTCACCTTAGCGACAGAAGAGCTGCCGAAGGAAGATTACATGGAAGTAAGTCATGAGCCCGCTTCAATTTCATCCTTGTCGGTTGATTGGTGACTGATCTTCTCATAGAGCTTCTGGCTTGCCGAGACGCTCAAATACTTTTATCTCGTTTTTTCACCATCTGATTTAATCAGCCTGGATGAATACGTTTTGAACACCGAAGCACACCCTTTCCGGATGCCTGAGCGAATGTGAACCTAAATTCGAATGGATATGTGAATCTCTCGTGCTTGAGGTCGGAAATAGTTGATTTCAGATACCCATTCCGTCAGCAAAGTGCATCGAATAGAATCTGGCCTGTCTGACGTTACGCAACCAAATCGTGCCTCGCACAAGCAGCTGATGCTGTCTAATCTCATGCGATGGAACGATCTTTCTTCACGTGTCGTAATATATATTGCGATAATTCACCTGTTAGTTCCAACAGTAGACAAGTCTTATTACCTTGTAAAGTAAAGTGTGGAGCGTCCCCTTCCTAAGCACAGGCCTTCCACACAGCAGCCGAGTATTTATTCTACGAGGCTTTCAGCTGCCTCCGTCGTTTCACCGCCAGTCAAGGGCAAACGTTACGTGCCACCCCTCCCCCCCCCCGGGCACAGATAATACCATGACATGGTAATACTTCCCAAGCGTCAGAAATGCTGCTAGCCGGGCTGATGGCGATGTTCATGGGTTTGAGGGCATTGACCGAACACTTTCGATTTCCATTTGGATACAATTTTGTGCACGTCATATCTTTGTTGATAGGAGTTAGCTGAGTAACAAGTGTCGTCGGGGTGAGCCGAAGAAGACGCCGTGCGATATTAATTACATCAGCTTGGTGAGCTAGCTATCGACGGAGCCATAACCCCCTTTTCCTCGGAACAATGCCGACTTATTATCGAAACAAGGGATTCAAACCACGACATTGGACCTCGACAGTATCTTGAGTTCACGTCACAACTCAATCCCCCTCTCGTCAAGCAGAGTTGTCGGACCCGAGACCATAGGATGTCCAACGCCTCAATTCTTCATGTTGCAGGTCGGCGTCTTACAGTGTCCGATACGGGCCATGGAGCACCCAATGGGCGTCAGGCCGCAAGTTTGGATCACTCTGCCGCCATCTTTGCAGTTGCCGACCTTTCTGGTTCCTGCGACGTCTCGAAACAGATCGTAGGTACCGCTGCCGGTTCGTTTGTACCAGTACTCAGCGTTCTTGTTGCAGGGATCGGTCGTGTTCATGATATTGCTGCCCCAGTCGCCTTTCCAGACAGTACCACTGCAAGGACCGCCATTCGAGGCGACAGAGAGGGGAAACCTGAGGCCGGAGGAGGTGGAGCAACTGCCAGACCATAAGTAAAAGTCGGCAGTCGCAAGGCCGGCCAGGAGGGATACGGCTAGCTGAGTGGGGAGATGCATTTTGGTGCGTTGGGTAATGGACTGGAAACTAGCCAAGTAATAGAGATGATGGGTGTCGGCGGGGAATAACGAGACAGGTGGACCAAGACAACGAGGTAGTTGGATGCCTCTTTATAGCTCCCTGGGTCGCCAGAATCGTACATTGTCAGGGATGACAGCCGTGACGGCTACATGCTCAAGCTGAGGAGAAGTTGAATGTGAAGCCGTTGGCATGGACTGCCATCCGGGTGTTCTTCCTGTTACATCGTCCTCTCCTTTCCAATCAGCAGCTGGAGGATACCGGTGAGTCAACCTCCCTAGTCCAATTTACAGTGATGAAGTGTCTTGTGATTATTCAGGGGGATCGTTATTTGCAGGACATGATACATGGTGAAGACGCGCCACCAACACAGATAACACAGACGACCAATGACCGATGGGCGTAGTAGCATACTTACTCCAGAAAATCCAATTCTAGCTAAGGCGGCCATGTTGATTGGAGGTAAGATTGCGCGGCAAGCTCAGGCTAGGTCAGGACCTCGCTTCGCGTTGGTTGCTGGTCCTCTCTCGGGCCATTTCAACTATCGAGGGTCATGAACCAAGCGCTTCGACTGGGTGACCGACCAACTTCGCCGTGAGATTCCATAGTGACGGGTGTCTGAACGCTGTTCTGACAAGCTTCAAGACTAGAAGAAGAAGCCCACAGACCCTCCGTGTCCATACAGCCACGAGGGGGTAGCATGCCACACGACTATGATCAATCTGACGGGACCCATGAGACTGTAGCTACGATAGAGACTACCTGACCAAGGACGAGGTCACGGAAATTCGACCGCCGGAGATCCCATTCGCACACCGAATCCTGTATGCAAGCCAAATGTGGTATTGGATAGCGCCTTACTTTACGCCTGACAAGTACCAACTGGCGCAGCCACATTCGTGCCATCTGACCAGTAGCCTCGCGACATAGCAGGCAAGACCCTGACGAAAACAGCAAACACGAATAAGAACGGTCATGGCTTCTGCGTGTTCCTGACAAGCGCATTTAAGTAGCTTGGCCCCATCTGCGGCCGTTAGCCTAACCCAAATAGACACGCAAGACACGCCAGTGTGATCTTCATCGTCTCGATTCGGGCCAACATCGTGAGACGGCGAGAACAGCTGATTGGATCGTCAACGAGAGGTCGCGGAAGGCGGTCTGGCCTTCTCCTACGCTCGAGTGTTTCTATATTGAAAGTAGACGGTACTTCAAAATGGCACCAGAGGCCTGGTAGAGTTGGCGGGCTTTGAAGATGTAGCCGAAAGTCTTTTAGACAGGGGCTACATACCCAGGGCTCAGATTAGAAACATGCCTGCATTCCACACGATATTGTGTACTGATCGATGTCAATATCATTAAATCAAAGAGGTATCAAGCCCAACCATCAGAAAGCTAGATGACAATGTCCCACGCTCGCCATGCCCCGCCCTGCCATGCCATCAATGCAACCTTGTGCCCAGCCTCCAAGCGCCTACACCAAGACGACAAGCAGCAACGCCAACAGCAACACCCCCCACCGCACCTCCAGCGACGCACCGGCATTCCCGCCAGAACCACCACCACCCCCCGGCGCTGATCCCGGCGCGCCACCACCACCGCCAGTGCCGCCAATGATGCCGCCGCCGCCGCCCGGCGGAACCATGACGCCCTGCTCGACGGCCCCGAACGCCGGATCGACGCCGCCGCCGACGCCGCCGCCACCAGGCGTGCCGCTGTTGACGCTGCCCTCGACGCAGAGGCTCTGGTCCTCCCACGTCGCCCGCGAGGCCACGGTCCAGGCGGCCTCGGCGCCGCGCTGCATGGCGGGCGTGTAGTAGACGCGGCAGCTGGCGGGCTGCCACAGGAACTGCAGCGGCGTGTTGGCGTCGCCGGGCATGAACGAGTTCTTGCCGTTGACGGCGCCGGCCGACGCGGGCGTGGCGCTGCCCAGGATGGCGTAGCCGCGGGCAATCTCACCGAGCTCGGCCGCCCCTCGAGGCGGCGCCCGCACGTCGGGGGGGCGGACAGGGGCGAGCACCGGACCCCCGCGCCGCCTGGCATGTCGTTTAAAAAAAAAAACCTGGCCCGCCCTCCGACG